TAATATTTCAATTTTTATTTTTTAAGGCCTCCCTATACCATTTTTCACAGAGATTGCACCAAATTATATTCCCACCAACAGTGGATGAGGGATCCCATTTCTCTACATTGTTGCCAACATTTTGTTCCCATTCTTTTTGATGTAGGCCATTCTCACAGTTTTGATTTGAATTTTCCTTATAATGAGTATTTTAAGCATTTTTTTCAGTGTAGGAAATCTGACTGTCTTTAGGAAAATGTCTATTTAGATCTGTTGCCCATTTTTTGATTGGGTAGTATTTTTTGTTGTTGTTGTTTTGTTTTTGAGTTGGATGAGCCCTTAACATACTGCGGAACTTAATCCCTTGTCCAATGTGTGATGGGCACATATCTTCTCCAAGTCTGTAGATTGCCTTTTCGTTTTTGTGATGGTTTCTTTTGAGGTACAAAACTTTTTAATCTGAGGTAGTCCCACTTGTTTATTTTTGTTTTTGTTTCTCTTGTCATTGGGGTTGCACCCCCAATACATCTCTAAAGTAGATGCCACTAGTGTTTCACCTATGTGTTCTTTTAATGCTTTTATGGTTTCAGATCTTATATCTAAATCTTTTATTCATTTTGAATTAATTTCTGCATATGGAATTAAGTATGGTTCTAGTTTCTTTTATTTTTTTTGCTTTGTGTGGTGGTCCATGTTTTCCATCACCATTTGTTAAAGAGATTTTCCTTCTTACACTGTATTGTCATGGATCCTTAGTCAACTACTAACTATTCACTTGTGTGGGTATAGTTTTAGACTCTTTATTCCATTGGTCTGTGTTTCTATTTTTGCTTGAATATCATACTGTTTGATTACTGTTGTTGTTTAATATAGTTTGAAGTCAGGGAGTCTGGTACCTCTATTTTTCTTTTTTTCTCAGGATTTCTTTGGTTATTTGGGTTTTTTGTGTTCATACAAATTTTATAATTGTTTATTCTAGTTCCTTGAAAAAAGTCATTGGGATTTTGATAGCTATTTCATTGGGCTTATTGCTTTAGGTGATATGGTTATCTCAACAATGTTTAGTCTTCCTATCCATTTCTTTGTGTCTTCTTTTATTTCATTTAACAATGATATACTTTTTTGTTTTTTTTAAATCTTTAAACTCTGTTTATTTATTTATTTATTTTTGTGGGCCCCTCGCCGGCGGCTGGGGAACGAACCGGTGGTGCTGCAGAGTCTGCAGGCAGCCTCGCAGCCCAGCGCTCAACCGCTGCGCCACCAGGGGAGGCCCAACAATGATATACTTTTAGATGTATAGGTTCTTCACCTCCTTTGTTAAATAAGCCCTGGTTTTTCATTATTTTTGGTGTAATTATAAATGGGATTTTAAAAAAAATTCTCTTTCTTCTAACTCATTGTTTGCATGTAGAACTGATTTTTGTGTATTGATTTTGTATATTGCCACTTTATTGTATTCATTTATTATTACTAGTAGTTTTTTGGTAGAGTCCTTTGTCTATTCAATGTATAGGATCACGTCATCTCTGAATAGTGATAGTTTCACTTCTTCTTTCTCAATTTGGATTCTTGTTATGTCTTTTTCTCTCCTAATTTCTCCAGCCAGGAGTTCCAACACTATGTTGAACAATAGGGATGAAAATGGACATCCTCTCTTGTTCCTCATCTTGGGGTAAATGCTTTCAGTTTTTCACCATTGAGTAGATGTTGGCTGTGGGCTTGTCATAGGCAACCTTTAGATGTTGAGATAAATTTTATTTATTCCCATCCCATTTTATTGAGAGTTTTTACCATAAATTGATGTTGAAGCTTGTTAAATGCTTTTTCAGTGTCTATTGAAATGATCATGTGATTTTTCTTTTTCTTTTCACTGATCTTGAGAGTGACATTGATTTGTTTATGTTGAGCCAACATTGAATCCTTGATGATTCTCTTACTATAGTGTTGGATGTGATTTGCTAAGATTTTGTTGAGAATTTTTGCATCTATGTTCATTGGCGATATATGTCTATAGTTTTCTTCTATTGTGCTGTCCTTGTTTGGTTTTGGAATCAGAGTAATGTTGGACTCAGAATGTATTAGATAGCTTGCAACCCTCTTCTGTTTTTTGGGTTTTTTTTTTTTTGAAGAATTTGAATAGGATAGGTATTAGGTCCTCTGATGGTTTGGTTTAATTCACTGGTGAAGCCCTCTAGTGCTGAGATTTTGTTTTTAGGAAGACTTTTGACTACTCTCAATTTCTGTGCTGTATATTTCACCCTGGTCAGTCTTGGAAGGTTGCATGATTCTAAAAAATTGCCCATGTCTCCCAGATTATCCAATTTATTTTCATAGAGACATTCATAATAGGGTTTTATGGTTCTTTGTGTTTCTGTGTCATATGTTACAATTTCCTCTTTCATTTCTGATACTTCTTGTTTTAATTTTTCCTCTTTTCAGATAAATTGAAACAAGAAATTATCAATGTATGATAATGATTTACAATTAGTAAACAGGTATGGCAATTTGCTTTTTCCCTCCCACCCCATGAACAAACTCTAAGTGATTTTGAAATAACCTTTTCCAATATAAGTAACTTTACTCATTTTAGTTTAATCTTTTAAATTTCAATAAAATGAAATTATTTCAGCATTTTTGTTGTTTTCTTGTATAAATCAAAGTTTTAAAAGCTTAGTTATGAGCTGAAATTTTTCAATTATGCTCTTAGAACAAATTACACAATATCAATGTACCACCAGCTTCACATTATGATATTTCACTGTATGATCACATCTGTAGAATGGATTAGTTTTATAAGTTGGGGGGGCTACTGTATTATTCTCTATAAAATGTTATTTACATAAACATGTAATGGCCTTATTTATTTTAACATGAATATTAAAAATTTATTAACAGCAATTCATAATACTATAAATATTGCTAAATATGGCCCACATTCACAAAAATTCCTTGAGGTCCTCAATTTTTAAGAGTCTCAAAGGGTCCTGTGAGCAAAAGCTTGAGAACTTGTTTCAGAAAAAATGTAATTTGATATCACATTTCACCAGGAGAGGCCGCCACTAACACAGGTTGCACACTTTTCCTGTAGTGGCTTAAATTTGAAGCTTCTGATTCAGTAGCACATGAGTGCCTTGCACCATGGATGTAATGAGTTAGGAATATTGATGATGGGGAAGAGCAGAGAGGGAGAGTGAGAGGGAGGGAGAAAGAGGGAGAGAGAGACCATCTCTAAGTCTTAATAAAGTCCTAGAAAAACTAGGAAAGAAGAAAAATAAGAATATAGTCTCAAAACTGCAGAGATAAAATAAGCACTGTTTAATGACACCGCCTACATGGGAGATTGCTGGGCCATCTGTACCGCCAGCTTAGCTGGGGAGCATCCCTGGATTCCCAGCTGCTACTTGAGATCAGGTTTTTCCCTGAAGGAAACCCTTCCACTGTTCTGCTTGCTCCTGTGACCTCCAGGTTACTGTGAGACGAACTTCTGACTCCTCGTACAGTATCCTTTTCCTGCAAACTCCATTTCTCTCACCAAATTCACAAAGATGCTCTCTGTGTGATACTTCACAATCCTGTTGCAATGCTATCCACGGAGCTACCAATCCCTGGGTATCATGAAAAATTATACGATCAAGTATATATTCATGTAAATTTTTCCTTGAGAAATCTCTTCTGAGAGACCGCATCATTCCAAAGTCATAATGTCTTGCACTTGGAATATTATGATTACTGTAGGTGAGATTTTATAAGGTCTCTATTCTTTGTCACCCTGTCCCATTAGCATTATTTTAAATGTTGATATTTCCCTTCCAGGTATTGATGTTTGTGCACTGAGATAATCTATCCTCTCTAATTTGCAGTTGTTAGGAAATCTGAAATGCAGTATTACTGAGCCATAGTTCTGGAATAGAGCCACTTCCTTTTCTGACCTTTCTTTTTGTTTTCTGTTCAGCATTTGAATGTCTTTTGTTATGCTGACTCTACTTGCTATTTTCTTTTCCCACCCAATTTTCCTCCCAATTCCCCTTCCTCAAGGGAATCCCTGTGCCTTGTGCTGATTTAACACCCCCAGCCTAGTTCCAAATGAGCTATACTCCCTCTCCTTCCACCCATTACCAGACAAGAAAGGGCAGGGTTATTTCTTCATTCGCAGAAGAGGAAGTTCACATAAACCTCGTCTGTGCAGGAGAGAGTTTTAATTTTCTACGAAAGCTCATTAATCACTATCCTTTCTACCCTGCCTCCCATGGGTCCAGGTAAATGAGTCAGTGCCAAAGGGGGTCAATAGCCAACACCCAGTCTAAAAGATGGACTAAGAATTTTTGGAGGCTTGAAGTTCCTGGAGTCTCAGCCTCCAGGCTCCTGCTGTCCTTTCCATACTTCTGTCTCTCTCCCTTGATGTATAAAACTCAGCACCTTCTTTGGATTTACCAGAAGCCCACCCACTCCAAGCGCTGAGTACTGTGCATTTATGGGACATTTTAGGGGAGTTCAGAAGACATCAATGGAAACAACTCTGCCATGGAACCATAGTATTGCCATTTTCCTTGCCAGGTCCTCTTACCTGGTGCCAGCCACTTCCCACCTTGCTCACTCTTTTCTTTCTGTCCCGCTGTAACAGGGGGGACCCACAGAAAAGGGTCAGAAACAACCAGACAAGCCCAGAAGGAAAAGAGCAAAATCAAATCAAGATAAAAGTTGCCATTGTCTCCTCCCCACGGGTCTCACCCACATCTGTGTCACCCAGTCCACGACCAAAAGACAAGCACAGTTTCTTCACGTGTCTCTAGGCTCCATGCGCCTCCTTCAGGTCTCCTTCTGGCTCCATCCTGCTTCTTTCCTCAGTCTCCTCTGCAGCTCTCTCCCTGCTCAGCTCCACCCTCCATTTGGGTGGGGCGGAACCTGAAACCTCCCCCTTTCCTGGGGACCACCCTGTTACACCGTCTCTGCTCTTGTCTTTTCTCTCATCGTTTCCTTTGTTCCCTGGATCTTTAAGTTTTTTTTTTTTTTTCCTTTTTTAGGGAGAAATAAGTGATTTTGCCTTCCCAGAATTCTGCAACTTGGCACCCTCAGGCACTGCAACATTTCACCATCTTACACCCTGGTATGTATCAAGTTGTTTTTTGAAAAATACAAAACAGGGCCTCCCCTGGTGGTGCAGTGGTTGAGCGCTAGTCTGTGAAGCTGCCCGCAGCCTCTGCAGCGCAAGTTCGATCCCCGGCCTCTGGGCGAGGGTCCCACATGGTGCGCAGACCTTTCCTGCTGTGCCCGCTGCTCCCCTCAGCAGTGTATTTTGTCAGTCTGTCTGTTCTGTTCCCCGCTCTGGCTCTGGTGAATTCTGTCACCCTCCCACACTTCTGACTGTACCCAGTGCTTGTATAAATAAATCTTTGAAAAAAGAAAAAAGAAAACTACAAAACAGAGAAGTCTTATTAGCTAAGAAATGGTGACAAATTTTGTTCTACCTCGTTACTATTTTAGCTTGCTGTTTCTACATTGGGTTTTCTTATCTGAACCCAAGTCAATTTTTTTTTTTTTCCTAGAGGTTTATTTGGGAGGTGACAGTGAAAGTAGGAAAAGAAATAAAGTGTTCAACTGGGCAATAAGAGCCCTTAGAAGTAAAGGTGCTAGAACATCTGTGTGTGAGTCTTTGCATGGACACATGCTTGCATTTCTCCTGGGTATCTACCTAGCAGTGGAATGATTGGGTGATACAATTGATTTAGGTTTAACTTTTTAAGAAACTGCCAGACTTTTTCAAAATGACTGTGACCTTTTATATTTGCACAGCTGTGTATGAGGGAACCCAGTTCTTTCAAGATCTGTGCACTGTAAATTATAAAGCAGTAATAAGAGAAATTAGAGGAGACCTAAATATAAGAAAAGGTAGTGTTCCTGGGTCAAAAACCTCAATAGTGCTAGGTGTCACGTCTTCCCTAGTCAATGTACTGATTCAATGCAATAGCTATCAAAAACCCCAGAAGGCAGTTAATGGGTAGAATTTATAATTTGATCTTCAAATTCATATGGAGATGCAAAAGATCCAAGAAAGATGAAATAACTGCAAACAATAAAGTTGAAAGGCTAACATTACCTGATTTCAATAGTTGTTATAAATATGGGTAATGTTTAAAACATCTGGAAGCCCAGACCATATTGCAGATGAAGTAAACCTCAATTTCCAAGGATGGGGCCCAGCAGCAGATTAGTTTTGAAGGTCCTGAACTAATGTCTAGTCCAGGCTGAAACCTTGTTAGATTCTTAAGCGAGCATATTTCGTTAAACCTCTAGAGGGCATCTTAGACTTTTCACAGCCAGAGGAATTCCACTTGCATCTAAATAGATGGTCACCCCGACATTCTGAAGCCTATTTATTTTTTAAGTTAATGTCTGGGGATAGGAGGAAGAATAAATAAAATAATACAGATAGTCATAACTGCTGTTAGTTTTTTTTGTTTTGTTTTTCTAAGGCATTAAGTATTTAGAAGGCATGGGGATTGTGAGACCTTGATCAGCTTTTGGTCCTGTGTTGATGCATCCTGGAATGAAAAGGAGCACTCAGAATTTACAGAGTCTAAAATGATCTTGGAACTAATGGAAATTCAGAGTTAGCCTTTTATTTGGAGACTTTTAAAACTTGACTCTAGGTTAACTCCTCTTCTAAACTCTTCAGCCACCATGTTCTAAAAAAAAAAAAAAAAAAAAAAAAAAAAAACTCTTTTTTCCTTCCTACCTTTGTGTTCCTGTCCCTTTTGGGGGGCAGCTCTTCCTGCTCTTTTATGTCTGTGTAAGTGTCATTTTCCTTTTTTTTTTTTTTTTTTTTAAATAATAAACCTGCCCTTTTGGATATAACTAAATGTCTCAGCCTTGTGGGGAAACTTAACTTACCATGTGCCACTGAAAGGGGAGCTCTGGTGAAACTTTTCTCAGGAGACCCCATTCTCTGAACCCCACATCTCTCCAAAATGACATCACATGTTCAGCTTTTCCTTGCTTTAAGCTGAGTCTTCCTTCTCTCCCTTCTCCCCCTCATTTTCCTCCTTTTCTGAATTTTTTAAAGCGATAGCTTGGTGTAATCTATCTCTGGGCTGCGACTTCTCTTCTTTCCTTCCTCCGCTTCTCTTTCCTTTCTCTTTTTTATGCATGTTCTTCTGTGATATAGTAAGAAATATGTGCTTATCTCTGCCCCTGGCTCCTCGCACAGAGCTTCTAAAACCCTTGCATTTCCTGAGTGATACGGGACATCATTTTTTTTTTTTTTTTTTTTTTTTTAGATTTATTTATTGATTGATTGATTGATACATACAAGCACTGGGTACAGTTAGAAGCGCGGGAGGGAGAGAGAATTCACCAGAGCCAGAGCGGGGAGCAGAGCAGGCAGGAGGACTGAAGTACACTGCTGAGGGGAGCAGCGGGCGGCAGGAGAGGTCTGCGCGCCATGTGGGACCCTCCTCCCGAGGCCGGGGAGCAGCCGGGGATTGAACCGGCGCTGCAGAGACTGCCGGCAGCTTCCCAACCCAGCGCTCAACCGCTGCGCCACCGGGGAGGCCCCAGGGACATCATTTTTTGATATTTTGTCTTTGGCTCCAATTCTGGGCACAGAATCCCTAAACCTATTACACGGAAGGGTGAGGGGTAACCCAGGACCCCCAAGCCTGCATGCTCTAAACGGTTTCTGCCATCTACTGCATCAAGAAAAAACAGGGCCTCCCTGGTGGCACAGCGGTTGAGTGCTGGGTTGCGAAGCTGCCCGCAGCCTCTGCAGCGCTGGTTCGATCCCCGGCTGCTCCCCGGCCACTGGAGGAGGGTCCTGCATGGTGCACAGACCTCTCCTGCTGCCCGCTGCTCCGCTCAGCAGTGTACTTCAGCCCTTCTGCCTGCTCTGCTCCCCGCTCTGGCTCTGGTGAATTCTCTCACCCTCCTGCGCTTCTGACTGTACCCGGTGCTTGTATAAATAAATTTTAAAAAAAAAATCTTAAAAAAAAGAAAAAACATACTCTAGTGCATAAGACCTTCAATAGAAAATAACTTTAATACAATTAGTGTTCAATAGACAGAAGAGAAAGAATATAGTTCAAAAGAGTTTTCAGTTAAATACCCAAAGTTACTCATCCCTTTGTGGATAAATGCTCAACCAAACAGCGGTGGCCCAAAGCAGGACCACTGAGGCCCAAAAGCTTGCCACAAGTCTAAGGCACCTTCGGGTGGGGACCCATAAAACAGGAGCAGAAGGGACCAGGCAAGTCTGGAAGAAAAGGAGCTAAATCAAAGCCCAACTCACGATAAATGCTGCCATTGTCAGCCTCCCCGTGGGTCTCTCACCCACGTCTCTGTCTCTTTCAAGTGTCTGCTTCCATGCCCCCGAAGTCCCTGGTACAAGTCCCAGGCTGAGAAGCAAGCAGAGCTTCTTCACATGTCTCTCTGCCCCATGTGCCTTCTCCGGGTCCTCTTCTTGCCCCTTTGCTTTCTTCTCGCAGTCCTTTCCAGCTTCTCCTCCTTGCTCAGTTTTACCCTCCCTTGGGTGGGGCAGGGAACCCAAAATCTTCCCTTTCCCTATTTCAAATCCTTTGGATTTTCCTGATAACTAACACATCTATTATTTTCTGAGGCAAGCTTGGTGGATTCCTGGATGATTTCATGATTGGAAGTTGGTCCCCAGAGTGACCAAGACGTGGTCAGACGCTTGGGACTTTCAGCTCCTGCAGTGAGGGGAGAAGGGCTGGAGATTCAGTTAGAAATAGATTGTGACTGGGATGAATCCTCCCTGAAAACCCTTGCTATAGTGTTTGGAGAGTTTTCAGGTTGAACACATCCATGTGTGTGTACACTCTAATTCCACAAGGACCATTCCAGGTCTCATTCTGTGTACCCCCTGCATCTGGCTGTGCATCTGAATCCTTTATTATAGGCCTTTATTATATCCTTTGTAATAGGCCAGTGAATATCACTGAAAGTGTCTCTCTGAGTTTTATAAACAATTCTAGCAAATTATTGAACCTGGCATGTGGTCATGAAAACCTGTGATCTGTAGCTGGTTGGTCAGAAGGGCAGGTGCCAACCTGGGACTGTAACTGGCATCTGAAGTGGGGCGGACATTTTAACATGGGTAGTGTGTGAATTGAGTTAAATTGCAGCTGATGGCCATGGCTAATGAAATCCCAGCTGATGCACACAGAGTTAGAGAAATGGTTGTTGGTTGGTGTAAGCAAAAATCCCCACACATTTTGTGAGTAGAGACATGGTTCTCTTTTATCTTCTTTATTAATACATTAAATAACAAAGGTGAAGTAAGTACCCTGTGAGCTATTTGCAGCATCTCTAATGTGCTATGCACAGAGCTGTGATTGTACTTGATGTAGATAGTAAGATAAGCACCTGGTAGATTTCCGCAGCGGGGACTCCACCCAAGCTTCATAACAGACCTCAGCAGCGTCTGACTCAGTCAAAAGGCAGGAGACTGTGAAGAACAATATATCGGATGTCTTGATCGAGAACCCCTCCCCTGTGGGTGCTGTTCATTTCTTTTTAATAAATCTCGACTTTTTCTGCACTACCTAGAATCCTGTCGGCCCTTACTGATGTCTGCGGCAGCTCATTCATTCCATTCTTCAGAAGCCAGCTTCCAAGAACTCACTCGAGCAGGTTTATCAACCTTCCCCAGTTTCATTCCGGTTTTATTTTGTTGACAAAGTTACAAGTACAACCAATCCTAATCTCTGGTTCACCAACCTACATTTGTAAATGGCAGTGGAGTTTAGTGAAAACAAAGATGTAATTTTCCCCCATATATGCTCATGAATCTTCTCTGATCCAGAAACCTCTGAAGGTAGAGGGGTCTGTGGTCTCCCAGGTTAAGAACTGCTCTTGTAGAACATTATATTAAACACAGATTAAAAAAAAGATTTATTTATTTTTATTTTTTAATTTTATGTATATTTTTACATCATTTTTCATTTTTGCACAATGTTTACATTTTCATCTTGGTTATAGTCCCCATACGATTCCCACCCCCCTTGTTTTGATCCTACTCCCACCTCCCCCCCACTGTATAGTGTCTCTGGTTTATAGTTGCTTGTTGATTTTTATTTTTACTTTATTATAAATAGTCTTTTTTCTGGTCCCTTATTTAGGTTTTCTAAATTCCTGCTGTGATCCGGTGTTTTTCTTTTTCTTTCTGGCTTGTTTCACTGAGCATGATACCTTCCAGCTCCATCCATGTTGCTGCAAATTGCATGAGTTTATCTTTTTTGATTGCTGAGTAATATTCCATTGTGTATATGTACCACATCTTCTTGATCCAGTATAATCAGGGAAATGCAATTCAAAAATACAATGAGATACCATCTTACACCACTGAGAATGGCACATATTAAATAAGCAGGCAACAATCAATGTTGGCTAGGATGTGGAGAAAAACGAACTCTCCTGCCCTGCTGGTGGGAGTGCAAACTGGTCCAACCACTATGGAGAGCTGTGCGGATATTTCTCAACCTGCTAAAGATGGAGCTTCCATATGATCAAGCAATCCCACTCCTAGGTATTTATGCAAAGGACACAGAAACATCAATTCAAAAGGGCATTTGCACCCCTATGTTTATAGCAGCACTATTTACAATAGGTAAGCTATGGAAGTGGAAACAACTCAAATGCCCAAAAATAGATGACTGGATCAAAAAAGATTTATTTATTTATGCATACAAGAACTGGGTACAGGCCAGAGGTGCGGAAGGTGAGAGGATTCACCAGAGACAGAGTGGGGAGCAGAACCGGCAGACTGACTGAAATACACTGCTGAGGGGAGCAGTGGGCGAGTCAGGAGCAGTCTGCTGTGCCATGTGGGTAGCTCCCTGGCTGGGGATCAAACTCATGCTGCAGTGGCTGCAGATAGCTTCATAGGCTGCTGTCATAACCCCTTGCGCCACCAGGGAGGCCCCCAGATTTTTTTTTTTAATGATGAAATGAATTCCTTCCTTCCCTCCCAAACCCCTTCCCTCCCTCTCCCCCCCTTCTCTCTCCCTCTCCCTCTTCCCCTCTCTCCTCCTCCCTCCCTCTTTCTTCCTTCCACTTTCTCCTCTCTCCTTTCTTTATCTTTTACTTTTTATTAAAAAATTTGCAAATCTTCTGAATAGTTTCTAAGTTGCTATCTTTGAGTTGAAGATCATGTAGGAGGCTGGAAACTAACATCAGTAGTTCTCAAACTTAAGCACGCACCAGAATCTCCTGGACTCTCATTGAACAAGTTCAGCGCTGACTCCTAGAGCTGCTGATTCAGTGAAGGCCTTAGAATCTGCATTCCTAGTAAGTTCCCAGGTGGTCCTGATGTTGCTGTCGTGGGCTGTCTCTTTGAGAACTGCTCCCTTATACAGGTTTGACATTCTGATGTTCTGATGGTTTGAACTGGGTAAGTGATTTTCCTACAAGGACAGCTCAGGTAAAGCAGATGGAGTGGCTCGAGTGTGATCATATGTCATGGGGACTGTGGAGAGGTGCAAGGGGTGAACAAGGGCACAGCAGGTGTGGCAGGGGACTTGTATGACCTTCTCACATCCCCTGCTCCCACTTCAGTTTGTCAGCAGCTATGGGAGTGACCCCCCAATGTGCTGGCCTTTCCTTGAGCCTGGGGACTTGCCCTGCATCACCAGAATCTCCTCTACTATACAAGGGGGATGTGATCCCCTTACTAGCATCCATCTCCCCATGGGGGTCCATGGAGATAACCCCTAGCCTCTTGGTTCTTGGTGTGGTTCACGTGGTAGCACAGAAACCCCCAGTTGACTTGAGCCCTAATGCCTAGAGGAGTAATCCACTCACTGAGTCTCCCTTTCCAGGGTATATTCTACTCTGTCTCATTCTCTCCCCTCTCTCCCTTGGGGTTCCTGGAATCACTTTTTGAATTAAACGACCTATTCCCGTGTTTGCCTCAGGTACTGCTTTAGGAAAACCCCATCTAAGATATGCATTCAGGTCCCAGCCTGGCAGTGGATTAAAGCTTTCAATGCTTCTCCTTATCAGCACCACCAGACCACATTACCCCAGTTCCTGAGCTAAAATAATGTTCAAGATGAACCCTGGGCCTGGCCCTGCTACAAGGCACTGGTGCTCAAGAAATATTAATGCCCTCCTCTCTTGAGGCTGGTTGCGGGCTGGGAGGAAGCAGGAAGAGGCAGAGGGAAGAATTCATTTGTCAGGTTCGAGAACACACAGGCAAGGGGGTTTGGCTGAACTGCAGTGACACGGATGTGCGAGGGCCGATTACATGTCTATTCTCCCAAAATGCAACTCTCTCTCTTAAAGAATTGCAATGTAGTAAAAATCATTTGTGTTGGCCATACATGCTTTGAGCTGTCCTGGGACTTAAAAATCCTTATCTGAAACGTCTTCTTCAGCAGGATGCGTTAGATTTTAGCTGTTAGGTTGTGGATGGAGATTACCTCATTGATTATCTGACAACATTCTGCTTGCCCTCCTCCTTCCTGTTTAATTTTAAAAAGTGTTTTTTTTTATCATTTTGATAATATTAGAGTAGAAATATTAATGAGATGGCTGGCACTTATTATTGAACTGTGAGTCTCTTTCATTCTTTCATTTGTTTTTAATTTGGTTGAAATTCTGTAAAATAGCGCCTCCCTGGTGGTGCAGGTGGTTAAGCGCCGCATTGTGAAGCTGTCCGCAGCCTCTGGAGCGCGGGTTTGATCCCGGCCGGCCGGTGAGAATCCCACAAGGCGAAGCAGACCTCTCCTGTCTTGCCCGCTGCTCCCTGTCAGTCTGCCTGTTCTGTTCCCTGCTCTGTCTCTGGTGAATCCTCTCACCCTCCCCCACATTTGGCCTGTACCCCGGTTCTTGTATAAAAATAAATAAATCTTTTAAAAAAATTCTATAAAATAGAAAGAGAAAGAAAAAAGCTTTTACATTAGTTTCAGAGATCTTTTTTTCAGCGAATTTCCCTGCCCCTTCTGCTCTCCCCTCCCATCCAACAAAGTAATGCTGAAACAGAATCCAAAGGAGAGACACTGATGAAGAGGGAGCAATATGAGTTGCCTCTTTTTCCATCCTGTGAGTTTTCACACAGGTTCTGCCTATGGGGATATGTTTCTAAGTACATTTGCTACAAGCGGGTACATGTCAAGGACAGATGCAGAGTGAGATAAATGATACAAAAAAAAAAAAAGCAGGAAGTGCAAGAGAAACCAAAACAAATACAAATTCAGATTGGTAGATCAATTTTTTATAATTGAAATAATTTTAAAACTCATTTTCTATGGCTTCAAAGAATGTCTTTCTGCTGAGAAAAATTTTATATGTCATTTGTGACTGGAAGCTGTGGACACTGCAGTGGGCTTTATCTGCATTCCACCCCTGGTCTCTGTCTAAAGAACCAGCACAAAGAACCAGCACGAAGCAGCATCATTCATCTTTCTGACTCCTGGCAGAACGATGGGATATGACAGTGGGTCAGGGAGATCACGCCCCATTTTAAATAGACAAATAGAATTTGAGATGCAGACGATTAAAAGCTAAGAAGCTGAGGTGAATCAATTCCCCCTGTGATTGATCATGGCAGCCTGTTTCCTCGACCACAGTAAACTTCAAGCTAGGATTCATAGCTGGTACATGGACTTTTTTTTGCACAATATGTGTGGGACCTTGAAAAGATCCTTTCTTCTGTGAATAGTTTTTACTGCCAGATTCGATTGCATGACAACTTGGTTTTATATATGCTTATATATCTGTATAAAAGCATACATACATATATAGTGTGTGTGCATAAGCAAGACGTCAAATAACAAGTATGTGCAATAAATGAGAAAAAGAGAGCTTAAACAAAAGACTTAGAAATTTGCATTTAATTCAATTGGCTAAAGAAGTCACTAAGTTTGTGAAAAGGATAGTTTGGAAGCTCTTGAAAATCACTGGATGATAAATAAGGAGAGCTTATGCAGACATCCCAGTCCTAGTAACAGATACAAAGCAATGCCCTTGAGAGACAGTGAAGGCAGATGAACACGATGCGGCAGTCCCTGTCGAGGGAACAAAAGAAAGAGCCATAGATATATCAGAAATGCACTGTGTCTGTCTATCCATCTCTGAACCAGGACTTGATTAAAAAGACTACTGCACTCAGATATTTATAACATTAGAATTCCAAGGGAATTCTTGTCTTCAACCTTCCTGTCCTCCTGTCTCACCTATTCATTACCATGTGCAATAAGACGTCTTCCTTAGAGGTAACTATTGTGCAAATACAATTTTATGCAAAAATGTTTTAAACTATCACTAAGGAGGGTAGTCTTTTTAAAAATTGAATTACTTTAAGTTGGATTTATTTTTATTTTAGAAGATTGGCTGAATTATCTGAGGAAGAAGATGGCTTCCATCTCTTTAGGATGGCAAGAAAGTACTTTGGAGACCTTAATCCTGACCCTGAGATTCCTGTGCATGGCAGAACCTAAGGAAAGAAGAGGTATAAGTACACATGTCTGGCGGGGCTAGGTATTAATCACTGTGGCCAGAGTCCCCAGTGGTCCAGGCTGTGGCTAGTGGGATGGACCTTCAGGAGATATAGCCTTGTGTTTTCCTAAGCCAAACTTCTCTCTTATTTTCTTGATGTCATATAAATAGGCTCTGAGTTCTTTATGACCCATCAGAAGTGAGGGAGCCCCGGTAAGGACTGATACTGGGCATCTTTCTGGCCTTTATGAATAGAAGCTAGGAATCAGGTTGACTGGTTTTCAAAACTACAGACATCCACCAATTCGTCTATTCAAATATTGTGAACCATGTACTCCTGTTACATGATTGAAATGTGAGCTCTGCACTTTTGTTGGGTCTGCATTTTAGGGGGGGGGGTTTCTATAGATGATTTACTTAGATTTATTTTGCTGTGAAACTCAGCTTCATTGCCACTATTCATTTCAATACTGATAGCACTGTCAGTGACCTGGGAAATATAAGAAATGTAGATAATTTTTTTGTCACTCATTAAAGATGTCTGTGCTGCCAGCGTAAGTTCATTTTGAGTCTCATTCGTGGTCATTCCATGGCTGCTGTACTATTCCAAAAATTAACATTGGATCCCTAATCATTGGTGTCATTTCCATATTATGGAGGTGCAAACTGAGTCAGCCTTGCAGATGGAGATTAATCCAAGCATGATTCTGAAACACTTTTCAAGTCATTGCTTACATGCAGGTCATTGAATAATCCCACATTATACAGAGAAACCTGAATGGCCAGCTCAGGAGTCCAAGACATTCAAAATGCAGGGATGGCTCCAGCCTCTGTTCATGCTGCAGGCACTGACCACATTTTATTTACCTTGTCTTAGGAAGGTCTTCCGATCTATTGTCCTGGTAATATCACCGGTTGTAAGATTACCTTGTTACTGTTGAAAATGACTCTTTTAAAAAATTTCCCTTTTGGGTTTCATACATATCTTTTATTTTATTTTATTTTTGAATCAATAGTTTATTTTACTGCTGGGTAGTCTTTCATGGTATGCATGTATCACCCACAGAAAGCGTATATGAGTTATTTCCAATGTTGGCTATTCCAAATAGCTTCTATGAACATTTGTGAATACATGTCAATGGTGAGAAACTGAAAACTTTGCTACTAAGATCTGGTCCAAGACAAGGATGTCCACTCTCACCACTGCTATTCAACTCAGTGTTGGAAGTTCTAGCTAGAGCAATTAGACAAGAGAAAGAAATAAAAGTAATCCAAATATACATATCTTTAAACCAGCACTGAATTTACTACGTCAAGATGTGCATTTTACACTTAATCATCTATTTAGTTTCTGATATGCTTAGGACATTCTTATTGAATTGACTGAACCACAGAGTTGTTTGTGAATGTTTGAAAGGCCACTCCCTGACTTAAATCCCTGGCCCATTGTATGAAGGACTTTCACTTGAATAGTTCATTTGGGCCTTAACCATGTCCCCCCCCCCCACCGAGGTTACCACCTCTGTTGACAAGGAAAGTCATTTTCAGACCACAAATAGAAAAGGAGAAAATAAAAATGTTTAACAATACCCACATTCATTGATTCTTTAAGATGTAATCTTGTCCAGTGGAATGGCTGAGTTAGTACTTTAAAAAAATGTACTAATATGTATACATTCATACACACATTTTTAAGGAGAATTCAGCCATTATATATATGGAGTAGTATTTGTGATTTGCTTAGGGTCTTTTTTTATAAAAAAAAAAAAAAGATACTTTTTATTTATACAAGCACTGGGGTACAAGCCAGAGGCGTGGGAGGGTGGGGGAATTCACCAGAGACAGAGTAGGGGGGAGCAGAACAGGCAGAAGGAACGAAATACACTGTTGAGGAGAGCAGCGGGTGAGACAGGAGAGGTCTGCCTCGCCATGTGGGAATCTCCCTGGGCGGCCAGGATTTCTGAATAAAACTGGAGATTCTTCATCAAGTCTTAGGATTTGTTGCTTGGAAGAGGGAGTGGATAGTTTTGTGTGGACCCAAAGACATTTTCAACTAATGAAATTATTCTTGGAGGCATACTTAAACCTGGTATGTGAACTTTCTTAAAAGGATGACACGAGTACATATTCATAATATGCTCTGTATTTTAAGAAATCATAGTTTCCAGGGCAGTCTTTATGGTATGATATCATGTTTATAAAAAGAAGAAATATACATATATGTGCAGTAAATTTTTTTGAAAAGACTTTAAAATGACAGCTGTGTTTTTCCTCTCTTTTTATTTATCTATGTTTCCAATATTTATCCTTGAGTCTACTCTGAATTCTTTTGTTATTAAAATAATAATAAGGAAAAAGAAAAGGACTTGTTAACAGCCAGAGCTGTCCCAACTGGGGCAGGTTACAAGGCAATAGACTACCCATCGTCCGGGATAAGCAGAAGTGAGGAGGTTAACTAACAGAAATTCCATAAAAGAAGGACCTTCTATTTAGTGGTCAACAAAAGAGCTCAAATTCCCAGTCCTAAGATTCTACAACTTGGAATTCTCCTATGTGTTAGATTTTCTAAAACCAATTGTAAATATTCAGGCACTCATGGCTCCTGGTCACTTGTAAGAAAGTATTAGGATAAATTTTTTAAGATTAATTTATTTATGCATACAAGAGCTGGAGTATAGGCCAGAGGTGTGTGAGAGAGAGGCCAGAGGTAGGGGAGAGTGAGGGGATTCACCAGAGACAGAGTGGGAGCAGAACAGGCAGATTAACTGAAATATACTGCTGAGGGAAGCAGCAGGCGAGATAGGAGAGGTCTGCTGCGCCATATAGGTAGTTCCCTGGCAGGCTGGGGATCAAACTCGTGCTGCAGAGTCTGCTGATAGCTTCACAGTGATGTGCTTAACCCCTTGTGCCACCAGTGAGGCCCCCAGGATATTTCTTTAATCCAAGTAAAACCTAAAATGTCCCCAATATCTATTTTTTCCTATGTGAGCAAAATCAGAAAGGTGCTGTTTTGTGCAGGTTGAGGTGGGTTGGTGCTCAAAAACAGAACTGCCTCTTTCTGGCAGCCCCATTTTGTCATCCCTGAATCAAACCAAGGTAGCAGTATCTTAATGATAGATCACTGCTAACTTTTCTTTTTGTGAAGCAAACATGACAAATAAAGAATAAACCAGATGTTCCTAACAAGATCTGGGGTATTCACTCTCTCTCTCGTTTTAACCTGAAATCATATTAAGTAGCAGTGATCTTCTATCAGATAAGCTGAAAGGGAAAGAACAGCCTCTACCACAGTGTGTATTGATGGGCAGGCTGTTAGGACAAACCATGAACCCCAGTTCAGTTACTCTCCCTGAAACAAACACCTTTATAAAAAAATGAGAGATGCTCACACTCCCAGCTTTCAAACTATACTACAAAGCCATAATGATTAAAAATGCATGGTATTGGAACAAGAACAGATACACAGACCAATGGAACCGAATAGAAAATCCAGAAATAAACCCACAGATTTACAGTTAACTAATCTTTGACAAAGGAGCAAAGAATATGCAATGGAGCAAAGAAAGTTTGTTCAACAAATGGTGCTGGGAAAACTGGATCGCTGCATGTAAAAGAATGAAGCTTCACTACTACCTCACACCATGCACAAAAATCAACTCAACATGGATTAAAGAACTAGACATAAGAACTGAAACCATAAAATATATAGAAGGAAATAACAGGCGAAACACTACATGACATGTGCCTCAAAAACATCTTTACAGACATATCACCCAAAGCAGTGATAGTGAGGGCAAAGAGACACAGCTGGAACTACATCAAATTAAAGAGCTTCTGCACAGCAAAAGAGACAATAACCAAAACAAACAGAAACCCCACCCACTGGAAGAAAATTTTTTCACACAACACTAATGATAAAGGACTGATCACAAAAATCTACAAAGAGCTGATGAGACTCAACAAAAACAAAGAAAATAATCCAGTCAAAAAATGGGCAGAAGAGCTAAAAAGAAACTTCTCCAAAGAGGAAATACAAATGGCCAACAGGCATATGAAAAAATATTCAACATCACTTGTAATCAGGGAAATGTAAATCAAAACTACAATGAGATACCATCTCACACCAGTGAGAATGGCATATATTAAAAAACTATCAACAACAAATGTTGGCGAGGATGTGGAGAAAAAGGAACTTTCCTGCACTGCTGGCAGGAGTGCAAAATGGTTCAAACACTATGGAAAGTTGTATGGAGATTCCTCAACCTACTAAAGATAGAACTTCCAATTGATCCAGCAGTTCCACTCCTAGGTATTTACGCAAAGGACACAGAAACATTAATTCAAAAGGGCACCTGCACCCCTATGTTTATAGCAGCACTATTTATAATAGGTAAGCTATGGATATAACCCAAATGCCCAAAAATAGATGACTGGGTCAAAATGTGATGTGGTATATTATATATATATATATATATATATATATATATATATATATACAGTGGACTATTACTCAGCAATCAAAAAAGATAAACTCATGCAATTTGCAGCAACATGGATGGAGCTGGAAGGGATCATGTTCAGCGAAATAAGCCAGAAAGAAAAAGGAAAATACCAGATGGTCTCACTAATAGCAGGAATTTAGAAAACCTAAATAAGGGACCAGGAAAAAGACTAATTATAATAAAGAAAAAATAAAAATCAACAAGCAACTATGAACCAGGGATGCACTATGGGGGGAGGGGGAGGAGAGGAGGGATTAGGGTCAAAATAAGGGGAGTGGGAATTGTATGGGGAATATAACCAAAATGAAAATGCATACATTGTGCAAAAATGAAAAATGATGTAAGAATTATATAATATATATATTTTATAATAATTTTATAAAAATATATTATAATTATATTATATATATATATATATAATGAGAGATGCTGCCTGCAGAGGATCAAAGCAATGCTTCCCCATGGAGACATGAGTGGAGAAACTCTTCAAGAGATTTTAACCATTTTGTGG